CTTAGCCCCTGCCTCCTTCACTTGTATGGGACAACCCCCCCGACCCCCGCCGCCCCCAGCTGGCCAGTCTCTACAGCTTCAGGTCAGGACTTCCGGGGGCCACTCTCCCTGAGTCTGGCACCTCTAAGCCTGCCAGCCGGGCCTGGGGCTCCCCCTGACCCCCCTCCAGCTCACTCTTCTGACTGGGACCCTTGGGCACAGCTTTCCAAGGGCTAGTGGAAATATTTGGGACCAAGATACTTGCTAAATAAAAACTAAGAAGTGTTTACAAAAGGTGGTGTCTTCACCCCCGCTCCACGGTGACGTGGGGGGGGAGCTGATTTCAGGGTTGGATGGTTGAGGCGGAGGAGGTTCCCAAGCCGAGTGCTGAGGACCTGGCAGTGGCGTGGGGGGGGGCTGCTCCACTTTGGGTGTTCCTCCCAAGGCGCTGTGGGAGGTGCAGGTCTTCCCCTGTCATGACCAGCCTCACAGGCCAGATGTAGACACCTTGTTCCCCATCAGCCTCCCCCCAGCAGAGTACCCAGTCTCCTGTCCATGTCCAGGAGGGATCTGGGATATTAGGCGGGGTGGAGTCTGAGTTGAAGGGGGCTGGACTTTGTTCTGGGGTAGATATGGTTTTCTGAAAGCTTCTGCTGCCCTGGGCAGTCTGAGGGGTGCCCCAAAGGGCCCGTGGGGTGAGGGGTGCTGGCACAGAGTCCAGAGCTTCGCTGGCTGTCCAGAGTTCTTAGTCCTACCTGGTTAAGCCCGCATCTGCCCCTTCCCCTCAGGGCATGGGGCAGCTAGGGTGGCGGTGGCCACGGCCCCCAGCCAACAATAACGGTCGGTAGTGGGACTGCCCGACTGGGAGAGCCGGCTCAGCAGGTCCCCGGTGTGCCTGTGCCAGGGGCCACCCCCCCTTGGTCTCAAGGTCCTGTCCTATAGTCACAACCTGTTCCAGTTGAGCAGGATCCGAGGCTCCTGGAGAGACGGAGGCCTCCAGCCCCCCAGCGCTGCCAGGCCAGCCCCTCCAGGTGGGTGCAGGGGTGGGTTGGGGGCTGGGAGGAGGACCCCTGGGAAGAGGTTGGGGTTTTCTCCTCCAGCAGGATGGTCACACGCAGGTCCCACCCAGCACCTTTTCCCAGCACCCCGTAACAGGAACCAGCCTCAGGGCTGTGCCCCCAAAGGAGTGCTTGGGGTGCCCCCACCTGTCACTCACCCTCACAGGCACAGGCACTTGTGTCACTGCTTTAAATACCATTTTCTAGTATATTACATGTTTATTATTTAAAAATGGAAAAAAACAAAAGTTGAGAAGTATAAGGAAGAAAAAGTCACCCCACTTCCAGAGATAACGACTGAAAATATTTTGGTCTATTTCCTGCTGGCCTTTTCCTGCACATGCATTTTGGTGCCTTAAAACCGGCTCCGCAGGACCCCCACACTTGTTCAAGAAGGGTCCCCAGGAGCATCTCCACCCTACTAGGCGCGCGGGCTCTGCAAGGACAGCC